CACAGAGGTTATCCAATCAGCACAAGGGATGGAATACCTGCTGGGTGAGACTAGACTACAGTCACACTTTATTTACTGGTCAGAGACCAGCTTTACCCATCATAACAGACATCCGTAAAACTCAAGATCAGCTCCGTCACACAATCTCTTCATCCACATTCATACCTGCTCCTCATGCGCCTCTGCAGTCTTCAGTCAAACAGACAGGCCAGGTGTTCTTGTTATCTGCTTCCTATTTCTGTACTCACTCTTTCATACAGGGCGGCTTTAATGAGCTGTACGTGCTCATGCCAGCAGGAGGGGAATATGGGGTGCTGTTGTTATGTAGAAACAAACTGTTAAAGCTCTTTGACCCGGCTCTAGCAATTGTGACTGGAGACTGAGCAGGGAATTCTGGGTCTGACCGGGGGAGGCTAGTGTTACAGAGCAGAGCAACTATTCTGGGCCGCTCTAATGGATTCAGTGTAAAAGACATTCAGCACTGAGGTGTGCAGGGAACAGCACCGCTGGGTTATTGTTTCTCCTGTTTGGTTCTCTCAACACACACACAGGCTCTGTTCGCACAGCACACAAATCCAGTTTGGATTTCAGATCTAATCTTCAGAACTCATTCTCGTTACTGATCCATTTGTTCATGCAGTGTTGTCAATATCCGTAGTACTTTTCCTTTGGTTGCTATAGTAATGATGCCAAGAGAAAAATTGAAATAATCTTTCCACAACAACTGACTCATTCACTTATTCACTGTTCACTACATGGTGAATGTCAGGTATGAAAAGAGATAAAGAACATATATATATATATATATTAGTGGACACTGCTTCAGATAATTTTGCGTAACATTACATAAGTGTTGCATCCCAAAGGATGACTTGAAATCTGATTAAAAAAATTTTTTTTTATTAAAGGGGTCATATGATGTTGCTAAAAAGAACATTATTTTGAGTATTTGGTGTAATGAAATGTGTTTATGCGGTTTAAGGTTAAAAAAAACTGAGGCGGGCGGGCTTGAGAACGGTGCTTCCGGCGGATTCGACGAAGGAGCGGCCGGCGGGCTTGCGGCAACTACATGTGACGACCCCGGGCTGGACTCCGCTTCGTCCACGGTGAAAGCCGATC